GTTTTGTCATACTTTAAAAGTGTGCCAAAAGTGGGCGCTGTAGGTGCAATAGTTTTCGCACAATTCTATTTGTTTATAGCGGAGGCTCCAAAAGTTATGAACTCTAAGCCTCTGTACAGGCGTTAATTTTCAACCAAACATGATTCTGAAAGCGTCATTGTAATCTTAAAGACGTAATTAAGCGACCTATTAAAATATATCACCGATTTTTTGACATTAACATTCTCAAATTGTGCATTAAAAAATCGTAGGTGTTTCGCTTAAAACAATTTGAATAAAATTGTAGCTATTTATGCTACCTCACCGAAAATAGATGCAATAGATAGCTGACAAAAACATACAAATTTTTCAAAAAAAAGCACCCTCTACGACCAATAGGAGCCAAGATAAGAATTTAAAAAAAAATCGTAACGCTAAGTAAACTATCCGTCGGCCGGCGGCGTAGTGGTGGGGGAAGCTCGTCCAAGCAAGTCGCGCGAGGGAAAAGTTAATATTCTTGTGTCCACATTAACCCATATAGGGGCTATAGTGGAAAGAAATGATATTTTTCTTTAAATTCTGTAATTTTTATTAGTATCCATTCATAATTAAAGTAAACTTATTAAATGATTAAATCTTTTTTTTTAAGACTAGTTTTTTTTGTTCCTATATTCAGGGTGGGTCAGAAAGAATGGGTCAACACTAAATTGGAGATACTAGACACCAAAATATTATGTTTGAGCTCATCATGCCTTATACGAATGTCGCTGGTTTAAGAAATACAGGATGTTCAAGGTTTCAATTTTATTCTGAAATTTCTCAATAACTGAGAAACTTTTGATAGCATGACTTTGAAACGTAGTAGTGTTGGGTTTTTTGGTGNGTGCCAAAAGTGGGCGCTGTAGGTGCAATAGTTTTCGCACAATTCAATTTGTTTATAACGGAGGCTCCAAAAGTTATGAACTTTAAGCCTCTGTACAGGCGTTAATTTTCAACCAAACATGATTCTGAAAGCGTCATTCTAATCTTAAAGACGTAATTAAGCGACCTATTAAAATATATCACGGTTTTTTTGACATTAACATTCTCAAATTGTGCATTAAAAATCGTGGGTCTTTCGCTTATAAACAATTTGAATAAAATTGAAGCTATTTATGCTACCTCACCGAAGATAGATGCAATAGATAGCTGACAAAAACATACAAATTTTTCAAAAAAGCACCCTCTATGACCAACAGGAGCCAAGATAAGAATCTAAAAAAAAAATCGTAGCGCTAAGTAAACTGTCCGGCGGCCGGCGGCGTGGTGGTGGGGGAAGCTCGTCCAAGCAAGTCGCGCGCGCGGGAAAAGTTAATATTGTTGTGTCCACATTAACCCCTATATAGGGGCTGTAGTGGAAAGAAATGATCTTTTTCTTTAAATTCTGTAATTTTTATTAGTATCCCTTCATAATTAAAGTAAACTTATTATTAAATGATTAAATCTTTTTTTTGGGACTAGTTTTTTTGTTCCTATATTCAGGGCGAGTCAGAAATAATGGGTCAACACTAAACTGGAGATACTAGACACCAAAATATTATGTTTGAGTTCATCATGCCTTATACGAATGTCGCTGGTTTAAGAAATACAGGAAGTTCAAGGTTACAATTTTATTCTGAAATTTCTCAATAACTGAGAAACTTTTGATAGCATGACTTTGAAACGTAGTAGTGTTGGGTTTTTTGGTGTGAAAATTATGAATTTGAAGCTAATTTTGACGTTGCTCCTATAGGGCGCTAGTTTCACCATATTATTTAGGTAAATCAGAACATATTTTATCTGTTGAGCTATGCCTTAAAAAAAATCTAAAAATTTAAAAGAACGTTCTATTCTACATAATTCTACATAAAAAATGCACTCTCGTTTAGGTCGCCTAACTTTATCGGTTTCTGAGTTGTTTGCATTTAAAAGTTTCATTGTATTTTGCGGTGATTTTCTTTCAAGCGCTGTCAAATTTTCATGTCAATAAATATTAACGTATTTTGCGTGCGTGTGATTTATTATTCGTGCAAAATTATTAGCTAGTGATCAATAAATGCCACTACATAAAAATTTGTCCAACAGTGAAACGCATATGATTTGTGTTTTTGCTCAGGCTAATTTTAATGAACATGCGGCGGCCCGAAGATATGTGCAATTGTACCCAAATAGATTACCTAATTATAAACTATTCAGAAATCTTTACAATCGCTTAGGCAGATCTGGATCTTTTTGACCAAAAAGTAACCATGGTACTCCAAAATCTGTCACAGTCGATGAAGAAGAGAAAATTTTGCTACTCGTACTCGTCGGTTAAGTGCGGCAATGGGGGTAAGCCAATCGGCAATTTGTAGAATTTTGAAAAAAGAAATGCTCCATCCATGTCATTATACTCCAGTTCAGCAGTTATTGGCACAAGATCTACCAAAATATGCAAACGGAAAACCCAGATTTCCTCAATAAGATTTTATTTAGGTACTGATGAAGCGACATTTACTAGACGAGGAGTTTTCAATTGGAAGAACAATCATTTGTGAGATTCCGCATGTTGTAAAAGAAATACATTTTCAGCATGAGTTCAAGGTGAATATTTGGTGTGGTCTAATTTCTGTTTTTTTCATAGGGCCTTTTGAATTGCCATACCCAATCTAACTGCACCTCATTATTTAAACTTTCTTCAACATAATTTAAACGAGCTTCTAGATGATGTACCATTCGTTTTAAGAGAGAGTATGTGGTTTATGCATGACGGTGCACCACCACATTTTGCCTTGTCAGTACGCCAGTATTTAAATGAACATTTTCCTCATCGGTGGATTGGCCGTGGGAATGAATTTAGTTGGTCACCAAGAAGTCTAGACTTAAACTCTCTGGACTTCTCAGTGTGGTCAAACTTGAAGGATATGGTGTATTGTGAAGAAATTAATTCTGTTGAGGAGTTGCGGCAGAAAATGCAAGTAACTGTGAATGCATTTAAAAATAATAGGGACATTTTGGTTAATATTCAGAGATATTTAAGAGTGTACAATAATAGGTGGTAGACACTTCCAGCATTTGATTTACGGTTTGTTATTATTACTATTATCAATAATTGTTATTGTTATTTTCATCTTTTGAGAATAAAAAATCACCACAAAATATATTGAAACTTTTAAATGCAAATAACTCAGAAACCGATAAAGTAGAATAAATGTAGAATTGAACGTTCTTTTAGATTTTTAGCTTTTTTTAAGCATAGCTCAACAGATAAAAAAAATATGTTCTGATTTACCTAAATTATACGGTGAAACTAGCGCCCTTTAGGAGCAACGTCAAAATAAGCTTCAAATTCGTAATTCTCCCACCAAAAAACCCAACACTACCAAGTTTCAGTTATGCTATCAAAACTTTCTGAATTATTGAGAAATTTCAGAATAAAATTTAAACTTTGAACATCCTGTATTTCTTAAACCAGTGATATTCGTATAATGCATGATGAGCTCAAAGATAATATTTTGGTGTATAGTATCTCCAGTTTACTGTTCATTCTTTCTGACTCACCCTGTATATGAAAATTGTCCACATTAGCCCCGGTAAATATATGTAAATAGTACACAAGGGTCACATTCGGTCCATACAATTTGATCTATGACAATTTGTTGCGGGTTGCCTAAATATGTGACGTCACACGAAACGAGTCTATTATTAGCGCTAGCAAATAAGCATGTTACTACTTACTTTACTCTTAGAGCATATACTACACAGAGGTAACACGCTTACGGCGACAGTCATAGAGCGCGAGTACCTAAACTATCGGCATTTTTCTCTACAGTGTCTATAGTAGGATCGTATTCGATGCAAAGTAGAGCAAAAAGTTGTCGGTCTTTTATCAAAAGAAAAATCGTGTCATCATTTTTAGGAGACGTAATATGAACCATTTCAAATTTAAAATGAAATTGAATGTTAAATCTGAAATACCGCTGCATACACACTGTGTTCTGATAGTAGCTATAGTCGCCCAGGTGCATCGAGTGTATAGCCATACATCAAATACTAATCTGGCGAGCTTGATCATAAAACAGAGAGCGCCTCCAAAAAACAAGTAAACAACAGTGGCGCATACAGAGGTAAAATGTAGTACATATGTGGAAATTAAAAAACAAATTAGATTTATAATAAATTACATTTAAAATAAATAGTTTATGAGAATAAACGAATTTTTGTAGGAACAAGGGTGCCAGACGTGAACTGATCCCTTCGTCCCTACATAATGTATAAAGAAATTATTCAATTTCTAAAACCCTTAAAAGCGTGTGGCACTGGATCCCTTGACAGGCAATGATTACTTTACTTACTTACTTTGCATCGAATATGATCCTACTATACACTTTTTAACGCTTGGTGGTTCCTACCCCTCCCCCCATGTAGTATATGTGCCAGGACCTAACTGGTTATCAGCACCTATAATGTGCCAAAAATGATACCATTATCAAAGGCGATGTCGTAGAAGGAATCAGGAAAAAGTTTATGTTTTAACCTCATTTCTTTTTGAATGGCTACATTCGATACCTATTTTGTACATCCAGTAAAAATATGTTTCACCTGGTTCCTTTATGTGCAGCTACATTTGTCGTTACTGGCTATGTTTAATTATATAAATAAAAACATACTTTTTGTTGTGGAAACTTAATGAAAATGTAAACTACATAATACTACTACTACTAACCATGCATGCACACAATTGACAACCATTTTGCCATGTTGCACCATCTGCATTTATCGTTCCGTTGACACGGCATGATTTCTGACAATCACATTCTTCGATTTTACTGATTCGCCTTTCCGTTGCCTCTAACTGTAAAAAAATAGAATTACATAGAATCAAAGTTCAATTATAGAAACAAACATGATGGAAATAGCAAAGTCATATTGAACAGATCGAAAATAAGTACATAGATTAATTACAGAAAGAATTATCAAAAATTTGATGTTTAATAACACTTTATTAGAGATTTCCTGCTATACGGTTACATTTATCGGCTTGAATAAAGAGTACATAATTTCTTCTGATATTGTTTCTCTTTTCAATAATGTTTAAATTTCTGCGATGTCTAGCAAGAGAAAAAAATTATGAACAAAACAAATTTTGAGTTGTAGATAAAATGCCCTCATAATTAAACTTTTCTTTGACTGGTCCAATAGAATTTCATGTACTTAGGGAGTGTGCCAAATGAGAGACCAATAAAACTTAAATTAAATAAGCTATTTAAAAAGAAAAATAAAAATAATTGAACTTTGACTGTAACTGTAACTTGCAAACAATTGACAATTCGAAAAAAATTTTCATTACATACTGCTATTATTTTAATCCGTAGAATCACCTCCCGGAGTTTCCTGACGGACTTTCAGAACACCATGTATATATAATATTTGTATACACATTATTCACATTAGGTATATTTTACTTTTAAAGGGAAGGCTATCTTGATTAGATTTGTTAAGTCCAGTGGCGCCCCGAGCGGTACCTTAACGAATATTTTTGACAAAAAAATGTACAGCACTGACTTTTTGTAATTTTTATATTTTTCTTTTTTGGATTAAGCACCTAAAAATACAACTTTTTTGACTCTTCAATGTTTTTCGTATCTTGTTTAATTTATGGAGAAAACAAAAATAAAATCCACTTAATTGCATATCCTTGGACCACACAAGAAACATTATTAAAAATATTCGTTAAGATACCGCTCGGGAAGCCATTGGACTTGACAAATCTAATCAGGTTAGGGTTAAATTAGCACCTTAACACTATAAATAACACTGCCAAATTACAACAAAATTGGGTAAATGCTATTTAATGTCGTATTCCACCCTTCAAGCGAGCTTCAGGATTTCAGAACACCCAGTATATTCCTGCGAAACTAATCGCCGTCGGCCGGGCAAATCAAAAAAGCCTCCACGGTATCATTTCAGACATCGAACTCGATACCGTCGGGGAGCAATTTCCGCGTCTCTGCATCTCAGTGCGGACGTCGCCCAGTAACATGACATCGATCCTCACGGCGATAGCGCTTCCAAAGACCAATTTCACCGATGTTTCCAATGTCACCCGCATCGCGACTGATCTCGCCTGGGTCTGCCATCCTGGCGCGCAGTATCCACTGCCGCGACTCTCGCAACCTGCAGACGAACCCCGGGACGCTTCAGGGCGATATTTGGAAACTATCATCTGAATTTTTACCACCCTTTCGAATTGGTCAAGGACGCTACCGTCAATAACTCGAAAAGTTATTGAGCGATCGGTGTCAAAATTTAATGCAGCACTCCTCAAGTCGCTGGCATTATCTTACTAAATTTTCGTCCGAATCGGATGAGCCAAAACGCCGTTATACGGGGAAACGCGGATTTTACGTTTTCCGCGTTTTTAGCCGTTCCGCTCATTCGATCTCGGCCGAACCTCAAAACAACACTAGTGCATCTCTAGGTGATTAACATATACAAATTCGATCCGAATCGTGCGACTACTAACGGCCAGCTAAGCCATAATAGGTTTTCACGCCTTTAGAGCTGCCGCCGAAAGTATCCGCGCGATCTCGGTCGAACCCTCCAACCACGGCACTATGTCATGCCGTGTATCAACAGACAAAATTTCAAATGAATCCATCAAGAAATAAGACCTCCGTAAGCCCTTTTACGAAGACGGGGAAAATTTCACCGACGTTTCCAATTTCCCCGTCTTTGGGCCGAAAGGACCGTCTTCCGAAGGTCCTACCGCTCTGGCGGTTGGATGCGATGCTCGGTAGCCTAAGTCGAGACAGCGGGTAGAGTTTTCTCAAAATGGGAGAAAACTCCAAAATCCCCGACGCCGACATCGACTATTCGGAGAAGCCAGAGGGGAACGAGATTCGACATCTATAGCGGTAAATGGTACTATTTACTGGAAATTTTGGCGGACGATTTACGAACGTTCCGCCAAAAGCATGGAGATCGGAGGAAAGCGATCGAACGTCAACTTCCGACGTTTGCAATTCTTTAGTGGGAGTACATAGCGCGAAAAAAGCGACACATAGCGAAATTGTAACAAACGATATCTATGGTAAATGTCTTGTATATGTTAATAAGAATACTTGTCTGTTAATTCTATTCAATAAAACATATCTTCCACGGTTTGATTGAAAAAACCCTGTCATCAAACTCAAGAACTTTGAAGCTCAAGCTCACAGGCTCGCTTAACGAGGCTCCCGTTGAGGCTGCCATTCCTCGACGCGGATATTTCTAGTGCTTAGCAACCACTACTCGCTTCACGAGACCACCCGAGGTAGCCTAGCCTGAGGTGAAGACTCTGTTCGATAGCCCCCTGCATCGAAACAGCGGTAAATTCCAGGATCCTTTTGAGATCTGCGATACCGTACGAGACTGACCACCTCCGACGAAGATCCTGTGCGATAGCCTCCTGCATCGACACAGCGATACATTCAGGCTCCTCTAGAGACCTGCATACCGTCCGAGGCTGAGAACCTCCTACGAAGACTTTGATTCCGATCGTGCCGGCTCCATCGAGGGACCCGCACCTCCTTACAGAGTACCCATATAGGCTCCTACGAGTCCTATCAAATCAGACTCAATCGAGATCTGCAAATCCGAGGCAATTTTCCTCGTCAAACCTCTAGGCGATCACTCGTCGAGGCAACCTTCCTCGTCAAACCCCTACGAGGCATTTTCTTTGTGACCCACGGGCACAAAGCAATAGTACGCACGTTATTGTGGCGGCGTACTTCCAAATTTAGCAGAAGTTGTCCTTGCTTCTTAGGGCTCCCTCGAGAGACCCACATTAAAGTAGAGTCAGTGTTTTCTACCAGACGTCTACAAGACCTTCGAAGCAAAAGAGCTTGCTCCGACATTGTCGTACGGGGTAAGACGTATCCCTGCGACGCGACTTCGGTATCCAGTGCTACGAGGATTGGTGCCCTCGAAGGTAATACTACAAATAACAAATTAGATCGTGAGAATATAATCAAGACAGAGCTGGACGAGACCTCGTCCCCAATCGGAGAGACCAGCGGTTACACGGACTGCCCTCACACTCCGGGTAAAAGAGGAAATGGCCTCCTTCCCCAACGTTATCTCGATGTTGCGTGAAGAGTCTGAGGGACCGAAGATGGTAGCTCGTGGAAGTACGCGGCACGGCGCAGCCACAGCGCCGTACGCGTTGAGGTCCGCTGCTACGCGAGTTATCGATACCGCCTCGATCACCCCTCACGACGCACTCACGGAGCCGAGTAGCACTCACGAGTTACAACGAAGTGGGTCACCCACAGATACTCGGGACGAGGTTATACCTACGTACCCAGCGGGAGCAATGCGCATCTCGTTCGGGTACCAAGGCAAGCGAAAACCCCTTAGCCGACTATGTCGTAGGTGACGTAGCCGGCTCTTTCTATCTAAGAAATTCTGGTACATCGCCCGTCCACTCTAATAATTTCCCCCGAACATACTATCACTGCCTAAGTGGTCCCTATTTAGAAAGTCTAACCCGACACGGCGCTCGACGTGGGGATCGACATTCTTCGTCGAGATCTCCCCTACGAGCTCGTGTCCTAGACACCACGTCTGTAGGCCATATCCACCACAGAGAACAGTCATTTGAGAATATCCTGCGACCTGGAGTCCCTAGTGACAATCCATTTGAACTCCGTGCGTCACTATCGCGGACCCCGGTCAAGGGAACTGACATCCCAGATCATAGATCGCGACATGGCGCCCAACGTGGAGCTCGATTAGAACTCCCGATGTCTCCACCGAGGGCCCATGTCGATGTTACCAATCCAAATGATCATCTTACACGACATGGCGCTCAACGTGGGGCTCGAAGTCCTGCTTCGACGTCTTCACGGCGAGCCCACGTTGCCGAATCTCCCAATAATTCTCAAATATTAGGCACAAACGATCATCTTACACGACATTAAGATATTTACGAAATAGCAATTTTTTTACAAAAGTAACACCCTGTATCTTAAAAACGAAGCATCTGTTTATAGCAATGTTTATATGAACTTTTTTCTTAAAATCACTCAAATAGTCGTCTGTTGAATTTATTGTACATACTTAATTAACACCCTGTATACTCAAGTATCTTCTTATTTGATTTCCCAATTATCTAAGACCAGTAAATTTTACGAATACTTTACAAGAATACTTTATTGCCACACATTGACTGTACATTTTAAAAACATTTAAAATTATTTAAAAACCAGTGGCGTACGAGCATATTTTGGAATATCCATGAAAAAATAGTCCCTACTAAAAAAATGTTAAATTTTATCACTCAATCTTTTATGCCAGTGAAGTTACAGGAAAAATAATATAAATAGTTGAAACGTTTTAACACTCTGTATCTCCGTAGGCAAGGTTCCTATCGAAAATTTTTATAGGGCAAAACTTGATTATCGGTAGAATACGCCATTGAAGTTTGGTAAAACTTATCATTAACACCCTGTATAGAATTACGAGCTTTGTTTTATAATTACGAGTTGTAGCTCACAATAACAACTAATAACTCGTAATTACGAGATACAAGTCGTAATTTAGGAGATATGTGTGTGCCTTTTCTTCGCTTCCGTAAAAAATAAATAAACAGTTTCTGCAAAAGAAAAATACGCCCTACTACCAACATTATTGTCATTACGGAATTTGGTATATACAGGATGATACACTTTTTATTATTAGGACTTTGACCATCGATAGATCTCGTCAAAATAATGTAATCTTGAAGTTTACATTTTTTCTTCCAAAGGCTTACTTTTAGAGATATAAGGTCTTGAAATAATATTTTTTTTTCGGGTTTTTAATTATTTTTTCTTAAACTATGAAAGCCATTTGTTTTATATTTAGTATGAAGTGTATAAATGAAAAGATCTATTGATTTTACAAATTATTGGGAAAATGTATGCGTTCGTAAGGGGCTCTGATAACCCCTATTTTTAATATAATTTCTACTGGAAATTTTTCAAAATGAATATATTTTTTACATTTTGGTTTATTCTACATTGCAGTTTATTCTATTACTATTTTTAAAGGAAACAAAAGAAAAATTATCACAACAAATGTTTAAAATGTTTGTCCTCGAACCTCAATGCATTTCTCACATCGCCTAATTAAGTTTTGCACTGCTCTTCTAATCATATTGGGGTTGTGTTTAAAAGTTTCACAATTATTTTCAATTCTTCTTAACATTTCAAGATAAATAAATAAATCATCCATTGGATCTGGATTTGACGATCGTGGCGGCCTAGCAATGGGACCGCACCGGTATCTAACATATGATTCATTTTCAAAATACGCCCGATCCAACGACGTGGATAGTGATCCCTAAGCGACCGCCTAATTTGAAAACCATAATGAGCCGGAGCGCCATTCATCTGAATCCACATATTTCTCCTTAGAAGTAATGGTAAGTCGTCGAGTAAAGTACCTATTTAAATCTTCTTGAAGGAAATTATGGAACAACTGTGAATTTAATTTGTGAGAGAAAATATGAGGACCACAAGTTTCCGATTAATAACTCCAGATATTACTACTAAATTCGCGTGCTTAAATGAGGTTGGACGAATAATATGAGGATGTTCTTGTGCCCCTATTCTTAAATTATGAAAATTTACAATATCTCTTCTGGTGAAATATAAACCTCTTCGGTCTAAAGAACGTTTTCAATAAAATGTGGATCACGCCTATGTGTTTCCAGTAACCACCGGCAAAATTGCAATCGTTTTTCGGGATCATCTGGCATTAAATTTTTAACTTTTTGGAAATGTTACCCAGTTCTTTTGTCTCTTTTACGAACGAATACTGCCGCCGTAGGAAATTTTCTATTTTAAAATCGTCTAGGCATATTTTAATAACACAACGCAAAATCAGTGACTGAGGAAATAATTTGACATTATGTCAAAATACGTATACACAATTATTATTCATCACCTTCAATGAGCATGAGATTTTTTTTTGAAAAATCTGTGCCACCTACAATAGTAATAAAATAAAAAAGATAGTTTAGATGTTACTTTAAAATATTATTAACACAAAATTGATACATTCTGGACCCCTTATTAATCATAAATTTAAATAGTATTGTACATAGGTACATACTTCAATCATTACCCTGTTTAAAGTCTTTCCGATATCAATTGAAGAACCAAGATGTTGACAATATGTATCAGGTTCGATCGCAGACGCAGCAACTCCGCATTGAAATATTTGAAAAACTTGTCCTCATATTTATTTAGCCATACCCATATACAGGTCTGGTCGAACTAAACGTGGAGGTGGTAGAAATGTATACGCCCAGTAGAAGAATGCGAGCGCGGGCAAACGAAATAAAACACAGCCGTATTGGGCCACTGGACAATAAATCTCAGCTGTTGACAAGTAGTTGACAAATTGCCCAGCAGTGCAGTGCAGCAATGCAGAATTCGATGTGATTCAGGTAATTTTAATTTATTATAGGCATCTTCTAGTAATCATTCATATTACAATTGCAAAAAGAAGAAATAATATTATTACAACATGACATTTTGGAGACCTTTTGAAAAGGAACAAAACGAAATTTACCATCAATATAATAAAATTGTTTGAGGACATAAATAATTAAAATATGCGTTGTTGGCCAAATGAACATATGTACAATAGAAATTTTCTACAGATTATATACAAATTATTATAATTTTTTAATTTTAGCAGAAAACTTTTTTAGGAACGCCGATGAAAGTCATAAAATTTTAGCCAGGCTTTTTTTACATGTTCAACTGACTTCGGAAAGACTATACAATGAATCCATAAGAAGCCATTATTCTTCAAAAACCAAGCATTTCATTTAAAATAGTAAGAGACCTTTTTGCTGTAGAATAAACCGCAATGTAAAAAAATATATTCATTCTGATAAATTTCCAATGGCGTAGAAATTATTTTAAAAATAGAGGTTGTCAAAGCCCCTTAGTCGATAGAACTTTTCATTCGTAATATAAAACAAATGGCTTTCATAGGTTAAGAAAAAATAAAACAAAAAAAAAGTTTTTTTAAAAGAGCTTATATCTGTAAAAGCTTTTGACGAGATATGTCAATAGTTAAAGTCCTATGCATAAAAAGTGAATCACCCTGTATGTATTTGTATATATGGAGTTAAAGTAGATTTGGTTGCCTAATATTCATCAGGTCTGTTCATTAGTGTTGCTAGAAGCAGATCTCAGAAATAAAAGCACAAAAATTTCAATAATTTGTGTTTGAGCAAGTGATTTGAACTTATTCTTGTATGTAATAACATTGTTTACATATATACAAAGTATTTATACAATGCTGCTAGTTTGCTATAGATCATAAAAGTTTACTATATAACTTAGATTGCTTCCTAACTTCTGCCAATTGGCAAAGCAACCTGACATAAAATCAGTTGCTTTAATTCGATCAATACTAATGAAGTATTTCATACTCCTACCCTTTTAGAAAGTTCCTGAATATGTCTCGTTAACTCTTGGACGGCAGTCTGCAACAAAAAGAACTGACCACATGTGGGACATGTTGAATCCAGGTGCGGACATGAAGAGAGGTATCCATGAGGTCCTCCTATTAATTGAACCTCTTGCATTGCACCCTAGAAAAATTAATTAATGTAAGTAACTACTAACAAATAACAGTAAGTAACAATTGTCCAATTTCTTTTGTTCTTTTTTTCTAAACTGTTTCTTGATCAATTCAGATTCAAATTTTAGATAAGAAGTGTCATCAATAAAATAAATTACGTATTACACAGATTAATATTTTTTCAAAATTCGGCACAAAATATTTTTGTATTTCCTAATTTCGAAAAGAGAAAAAATGATTATTTCTTGTACTTCGTGTCGTTTTCAATAGTATTATGTTAGGTTAGGTTTGCGGTTTGCCAGTTTGCCTGGCTTCGTTGTTTTCCATCTTTACTTTGACGCTATTTGATGTGATAATTTGTAGTGTGTGCAGTTGTGGTTATTGTAAGGTACGTATAAAATAATGAATATTGATGCAAAATTATTTTAAAACGATATGTGTAAAGAGATTTCTAATTTTGCGTCACATCTACCTAAACATAGTTATTATACCCACTACCTATTATAGATAGACAAGAGGACAAGGGACCTGGCACAAGAACTAAGAAAATGGAACATGGAACTATACGTTTCGATAAAATTTGAAGAGCAACTACATAATCACTAAGAACTATTTGAAATATGGATGAATCAAGTAAAATAGACGTCATTTATTTTATATTTTGTACAAATGTTTATATTTGTTTATGTGTATAGGCATGCTTAAATAAAATAGCAGTTTAGGTATAGGTACCTACAAATATTTATTTTGTCAAGATATCATTTTGTATCCTTATTTCTGCTGTATAATTTATTATTATTAAAAGGATAGATGTAATATTGACCACGCGTAGAAGAAATTGCAACTTTATATTATTTTTCAGTAATGTTATCTGTTTTTCATGTACCTACCATTTGAAGATTCATAATCATAACTAACTTTTTTTAATTATCATTGTTACCATATTCATGACGTTCTCAACATTAGAAAATTTCCATTTCAGCTTTTTTAAAATGCTTCTGATATTGTTTTGTGACATTTTTATTTGTACGACGAAGGGCAAAATTCGTAATCCATATTAGAAACTTTTTTCAGTGGCTTCTCAAAAAGAAAGAAATTCTTGGTAAAAGTTGCCGCATCCCCAAACTAGAAGAGCATATTTTTTTTTTTAATATACAATGTAACAACTTTTTTAGTTAAATTTTTTGAGAAATCAGAAAAAGTTGTCTGGAGTTCCAATTAAGTCATTCATAATACAAATAAAAATATCACACAAAAGAGTATTAGAAATATTTAAAAAATTATCTGAAGTTGAGAGCATTATGAGAACAATATTTATTTTATTTATTTTATTTTATCTTAAGATACATCTGCCCAACAGCTAAATACCAATTATCGGGCATAGTATTTACATATATAAAGTTAAGATAATAAAACAAAAACAATCGTAACAGGTAAAATAAAAAAGAAAAGGAAAAAAAGCAAGCAAATGGACAAACTAAACAAGTTAAGTAAAAGATTTGAAACACATAAATAGCACAAACTAAAACAAGAAAGAGGAATACTAAGATCCCAATATTATAGTCTTGATTTTGGAAACAGATGAAAAAAACAAATCTATTGAACCTTGGAGCGACGTATAACTCATGCACATCCGATACAATGGAGATGATGATAACAAATGCGTTTTCGGAAAAGGCAGTCTAAAGGTGTCACGATGCCGAGAGTTTAAGCGAGGTACATTGAATTCTAGTCTGTTCAGGATTTCAGGACAGTCCATTAAATTATTAACGATCTTAAACAATATAATCATAGCAATACAGAGTCTACGCGAATCTAGGCTGTTAACTTTGTACTCTGCCAATAACATATCATGGGGATAACCTATACGTGGATAAAATCCATGCAGATTATACGTGTTTCAAAAACTTTCTCTGTACATATCCAATCATATACTTCTGATTGCCATATTTAGGATACCAAACAGAAGAACAGTATTCCAGTTTGGAGCGAACAAAAGCATAGTACAGGCAAAGTAATGCATCCACCGATTGGAATTCTCTCGAATTGCGTATAATAAAACCCATATTCTTGCTGGCTTTCGTAACGATTGCACTTATATGAGCGGTAAATGAGAGTCTAGGATCAAAGGTAACTCCTAGATCACTGAATGTTAGGGGTCTTGAAAGAAGGATGCCATCCAAGTTATAAGGAAAGACCAATGTGCTCTGCTTGCGAGAAAATGACAAAACGTTGCATTTTTTAATGTTTAAATTGAGATGATTCAACTTGCATCAGTCGTTAATTCGTTCTAAGTTATTCTGCAACAATTCACCATGATCAACGTTAGATACTGACCGGTAGATTTTCATGTCATCAGCATATAGTAGGTACTTACTTACATCGAGACAGGAAGATATATCGTTTACATAAATGTTAAATAACAAAGGACCCAAGATTGACCCCTGAGGAACCCCAGATAGTGCCATAAATTGAGATGAGCTAAATCCTTGACATTGTACAAATTGAAGTCTGCCGTGAAGGTAAGACTTAAATAGTTGACACAACTTACCAGAAACTCCTGCGTGATCAAGTTTGTCTATAAGAATCTTATGGTGTAGACGATCAAAGGCTTTCGTCATATCAGTATAAATGACATCTACTTGACCTTGATTATCAAGGGTTTCTGATATATATTGTGTTATTGAAAGTAGGTTAGTATTGGTAGATCTGCCCTTCATAAACCCATGTTGACAGGGGCTAATGATATTACTTACATGACTGTATATAGAGGAGTGGATTATAGTTTCAAAAGCTTTGGCCAAATTAGAAATTATCGTAATTGGACGATAATTAGAGATGTCGCGTCTGTCTCCACGTTTAAAAATTGGACATATTCGGGATAGTTTCCAGTTGTTGGGAAAAGTCGATGTACTAAGAATTAAGCTAAAAAGAAATTTTACTGGTTTACATGGCTTAATATGGTAATAAAATTATTATGTTACTCAAACATTTCTGAAAATATACTGAAACGTAAAACAAAAATATCGAGTGCATAACTGGAACATAAAAATAATGTTACTGAAACCAATTTTTTGAAACGATTCATTGGAAACGTATTTTGGGGAGGACATCTTGGGTTTCTAAAACGTTACCAGAACGTTGCATGGAATTTTTAAGAAACGTTTCGAGAAAAATGGAAACGTTTCTGAAACATGTCAGAAACTGAAAAATGTTTAGTGGGAAAGGACCGTGCTTTATGAAACGATTTAAATCTAAATTTCGAAATTACAAAATTTGGAATAATTGAAACCATATAATCCTTTACAGATAATGAATTATTCAACACCTACATACCTATTATAGAATTAAAACATTATAGTTCTGACCTAGTAATAGATAAAAACTAAAAGAAGAAAACAAGAAAGAAGAAAAGATAGAAAAGCAAGAAAAAAATAAAAAAAAGGAAGAAAATAAAAGATGAAATAAATAAAAAAAATAGATAAAAAACAGATAAAAAATAGATTTAAAAATATGCAATTTTTTCATTGTTTACATTCAAACTTACGATAACACACTAAAATAGAAATTCATGAACATGTAGGTGAGAAGTGAGCATTTTATTGCATTTTGACAACATATTGCTATGCTACTATGAATGGACTATGATCTGCAGAAATAATTTCTACCTCCTGGATCATCTAATTCTCACTACGAATAACAGTCATTCTAATTGTGGAATTATATTAGAACTGCACTATCGACGTGAGTACCTTTATTGTACATGTAGATGAGTAATCTGTTATTGTCCTCCGTATTTGCAACTTAAAAGCAGTTCGTTCGTTCCTTTCTTTTGTGGGACATATTTAGCTTTGTGTATTTTCTTGCTTGAAATTGCTTTTATTTGAATTATAGTTTTGTGTAATACATATTATAGAATGAAACGTTCCAAGAGTATTTCAGCGGATACAAGTTGTAAGTTTGTAAGTTTGTAAGTTGAATTTTCTGTACTTGAGATCCCAGTCCGACTTTTGTATACATTCCATTGTAGTTTATAAACTTCAAAACAAAGTGAATTTGATGTATCTAAACCCTTTTTACTTACTATGATCACATTGTCGGGCCATATTATCTCTGTCGTTCATCTTCTCGATTTTCCATCGCTCTAAATGACGTCACGAATTAACGCGGCAACAAACACCCATTTAAAATATTTATTTTACTAATTAATTATTACTTACAACCTCTAAGAGATTTCTAATACTTTCACTGCATGATAATATAAGGTTATAGATTATTTCTAGACATTTAAAAAAATATATGCAAAATACCTTATAGTAGTAATGGATATTCCGTTGCCCAAGCCAGAGTTGTACAGGTTGTGAAAAGTTTCTGTTCGGCACACCAGGCTTCAGGAGTCTTTTGAAAAGAGATTCACAATCAACCAGCAATTCTACTTGGGAACCACTAACTGAAACTGCCACTTCGTGCCATTTATTATCTGCCAATTTGTAATGGAAGGTTTCTATATAAACTTTTGAATCTAATCTTGAAGTGTAATGAAATCTAATTTCGTTTTTTCTACCACTAGATTGCAGTTCCAAGTATCTATTCGATCCATGTGCAAAGGAAATTATTGTTCCGATATTACCCGGTTCTTGTCTTAGCCGCGCCGAAATGGTAAACTCAGGATTCATTCTTAGAAGATCTGAGACCTCTTGAAATGTTTCAGATGGTAATTTTAAGTCCCTGTAGTCCCCTGAAAATAATGGTATATTACAAACAAAGAACTAAAATTATAACTAGAACACTATTATTTAAACTGAATATACTCGTTCATATAGTGCCCAGTAAGGAAATCTGTTATTGTTCATTTTATGAAAAAAATATTTTTTAAACCATTTAAATGTATAAAAATGTAGATAGATTAAATAGAAAAATTTTATTACAAAATTAAAGTTTATGTTTATATGTCAAATTTGCTAGCAAAATAGGCCGGTCTTCAAATTTGGTGTATGGACATAAATTTTAATAGTAAATAGTAAAGGACCTCGCAGAATCATATCTTTAGTAAAATTTACCGCTGAATTCGAAAATGATTAAAAAAATCTGAAGTGTGGATCCCCCCCCCACACACCCTTAATTTCCCACAAAAATTTAAAAAATTTAAACTGGCCACCCAACCTACCTATTTTTAGTAAAATTTTCTGTTAAATCTGAAAATGATAAAACAATCTGAAGTATGGTTTCCCCCCAGACACCCTCAATTCCCAACAAAAATTAAAAAAATCCAATCTGGCCATCCAGCCTACGTATCTTTAGTAAAATTTGCTGAATCCGAAAATTATAAAAAAAATTGTTTGGACGTAAGGGACCCCCCTACTCATCCATATCTATACTTGCTTCTTTCAAAAATAAAACAAATCAGACGTGGCAACTGTTGTAACTTTTATAAAATTTGTCGGTAAAACCAAAACTAAAAAATATTTTTAAACTGTTAGCATCGATGAAATTTCTCAGAGAAAGCTTACTGTTTTCCAAAATGTTTTAAGCTCTTAAGTAACTTTAAGCCGGGTCTCTCTTAGAGGGAAAAAGAGCCAGAATTGTAGAAATAATAAAATGAACGCGCTTGAAAAAACGGTCAAAATTCAATGGAGTTCAGAAAAAAAATTAAAAAACAAACATAATACCATTAAAATAAAATTATAAAAGACGGCGATTATTTTATTAAATCAAAAAAATCAAATTATTCAGTTAATTTAGATCCTCGTTAGCTACAAATACTAAAATACTAAAAAATAAGTAAGTAATAAACATCATCTGACATCAAAAACTCACTAACTTTCTATCTGTAAGAGATTTGATCCTGTATTAACGGTTTTATTGTTTTTCAGTAGATTAAGATCGCGTAGGTCCTTTTGTAGGCAGCTATTACGAAATGGTTGTACGACTGGAGACTTAAGGTAAATTTGTAAACATATAATTCAGATCACTGGACTGCAATGCAATTAATCTATCTGAGGAGTTGGTTAATGTTACAATATAATAATATAGGAGAACAGTTTAATATTTGAAAGATGAATAATTTATTCTCATTAACTTCCTTCAGAGTGTCATCTTTTGATAAAATATGTGGTGAATATTATTTTAAACTTTTGGATGAAATTACATCAAAGAATGTTCATAACTTTGTTTAATAAGATTTTTTTTTAAATAATAACCACATCCTCATAATTAACACACTCTAAGTGGTGGGGTATATCAAGGTCAACAGATCAAGTAAAAATGGAACAAATATTGATCCGATGATAAAAGTTAAAGAAAAATGAGCATAAACTACCATAACGGCATCTGCCTGTAAGAATCAATATTTCGGAAACAAAATAACTCTATACAAATCATTTTATGTTCTTGTACATCACGTGTATATACAACACATATTAAAATAAGTGTCTAGTTTCATATACAGGGTGTCCCAGAATAACGTGTACTTACAACGGAAGACCATAGATTCGTAGACTAAAAATAAGCAGATTTAGGCTAATTTATCTATTTCCGAAATCGCTTCGTTTGGCCGCTAGATGGCCTTAAAGCTCGTGAAAAATTTTTGAATTACGAAAATAACTCAAATACGTGTTATTCGATTTTGATTATTTTTGGCGTGTGGACTTTTGCTTTCAATCTACATATTTTTGGTGTTTTTTAAAACTTACAACTCCTACAAAATTGATGTATGGTGATAACATTTGTTTATAATTTTTTCCTCTTCAATCAGCAATCATGACAACTATTTTTTATTTGATAGGTGACACAATTTGGAAGTTTTTGGGATTCTTGTAGAATTTTGATTAAATGAGCGGTTTAGGAATAAAAAAATATTTTTTAATGTCTACATTATCTTGCCACCCATATTACAATACTTAACAAAGTCTAGGTAGGAACTGATTTTGTAGGTTGACTGTAATTTCGATTTGATCTTTATATCTTTAAAATGTCTTTAAAATATCTTTAAAATGTCGTTCTCATTGCCAACCGCATTTTAAAGACAAGCAAACATTTTAATCAAGAATGCCTTTTTCTCATAAAATGAACAATAAAAATGTTTTACTATCCGTTTCTATCGAAGTAGTCCGATTCATACACAAATTGAAATTATAATATGAATTTTAATTCCAAGCAACTTTCCTTAATATCATCTTTCTGTATTGTCAAAAACATGTCAGTTCATTCTTGAACAATTTCTATATTAACCGATTTTCTGATCACCCTGTATATGTAAGATGAACGTTCTCCATGTCAACCGCATTTTAAAGACAAGAAAAAATTTAATCAAGAATGTCTTTTCGTAAAATGAAAAATAAAAATATTTTCCCTCGTTTCCACTCTAACCGTGGACATACTGTATATATACAGGGTGTCCCACGGTGACGAGGCATTAGACATATTTCAGAGACTACCTCGATTTTAATTTTGAAAATTTGGGCAATAGTATTTTCGAGTATGCCTACGACATTTAATAAATTTTGCAAAACAAAAACAAAAATTATTTTATATTTATATAGAATTAATATTAGTGTTAGTATTACTATCAATATGATTTAGATTTTTATCTATGAAAAGTATGTTTGAAAATATAATGTTAATATGTTATATACATATATAAAATAATTTTTGTTTTTGTTTACCAAAATGAATTAAATGTCTTTTAATGTCGATGTCTAAAATCTATCTCTCTGTATATCTATCTATAAATATCAATAACTAAGTTTCTTGTAAGTAATCCACTTTTATATTTTAAATTATTATAATTATACACCTTGTAGTGTAACTGAAGACGCAATAAAACATTGCAAAAGCTTTTACATAGATGAAAGAGTTTCATCTTAAAAAATAGGCTTTAATTCCACTAATAAGAAGATTTTAAATTTAATACAGAAGCCACGAATATCTTTTCTATATACATATATTAAAGCATGTGCCTTGGAAAGAGATAATTGACTATCAAATGAAGGCAACGTATTACTTAATCTAATAACAACATTATTTCCAAAAAATATTATACACTAGTGGAAAAAATTAAGGCATCAAAAAAAAAATCTAAATTTTCGGCGATTTTTCAAATGGCTGTATCTTCGATAAAAATGGTCGTATTGGAGTAATAAAAAGCAATTTGAAGCTTGAAGTTTCTAATTTTTGGATCTTGCAAAAAAAATTTTCAACACGTATCGCGTAATCTGAATGAATATCATGAAAAAAAATTTTTCGAAATTTTTTTCGATATTATTTTTGGTGTACGGAGAGAGGTTGTTCATTTAGCTTAAATTTCTTTTTTTTTTTGGTCTCGATACGACCATTTCTCGCTGAGCTATCGGACTTTGAATGAAAAGGAATCATTTTCTCTTTGTTCATCGATATCAGAAACCAATGGTTGCACAAAAAATCGACGGTGAATTCTGTCCTGGCATTTTTTCCTGATTTTTTTTACATTCTTATGGCAGAAAGCGTTTGAAATAATGAAAAAAAAAAATATTTTTAAATTTTTTCGAACAAAAATTTTTTTTAACCGATTTTCAGAAATTTCGCAAAACCGCCGGCATTAGCGTTACCCAAAGCGTACCACGTGGAGGTTGCACGGTCAGATTTACGCTTCTTTTATACACGTGCGAAAAGCGTTTGAAGTTATGACAAAAAAAAAATTTATTCAAATTTTTTTTCTACTGAAAAAAAGGTGGTTTGAAAAAAACTTTGTTTTAGTGTTCTGTAAATTCGGAAAAAGCATTTTATGACTTCAGAAGTATCGCAGCAATAATCTCTGAATAGGGTGTAGATCGAGGTCAATCAACTTTTTTAAATTTAATTAAAATTCGGTCAGCATAATCACGAAATGGGTAGGGGAATCGTGTCGAAAATGCTTGGGGATTACGGAGATAATTTTTTTTGTCATAACTTCGAACGCTTTTCGCACGTGTGTAAAAGAAGCGTAAATCCGACCGTGCAACCTCCACGTGGTACGCTTTGGGTAACGCTAATGCCGGCGGTTTTGCGAAATTTCTGAAAATCGGTTAAAAAATTTTTTTTTTCGAAAAAATTTTTCAAAATTTTTTTTATAATTTCAAACGCTTTCTGCAATAAGAATGTAAAAAAAATCAAGAAAAAAATGTTTTTTTTTCATTTTTTTACAGATTATGAGCATTTAAAGGCAAAAAAACGTGATCCTTTAATTTTTTAAAAAATTAAATCGAGTGAAACAAAAAAACGGCTTGATGGATCGAATTGAAACTCTGTAGGGCTTTTAGGGGTACAATGACCTGTAAAAGGCACACTTAACATTAGTCATTTTCCCAATATTCTCAATGTGGCACGTGATTTTCTAGAAGACCCCTAAAAGTCCTATTTTTTACGATTTTTCAGTCATGTTAAGGATAAAAAAAAATTTTTTTCTAAAAAACCGTGCCAGGACCTTGTAGAGAATTCATTCAAGTTTCTGAAACCCACCGTCGATTTTCTGTGCAACCATTGGTTTCTGAGATATCGATGAACAAAGAGAAAATGATCCATTTTCATTCAAAGTCCGATAGCTCAGCGAGAAATGGTCGTATCGAGACCAAAAAAAAAAAAAATTGAAGCTAAATGAACAACCTATCTAATCCATAAGGTGGTTAAGTTGGAAAAATTTTTTTCAAGTCCGTACACCAAAAATAAGATCGAAAAAAATTTCGAAAAATTTTTTTTCATGATATTCATTAAGATTGCGCGATACGTGTTACTTGAAAAATTTTTTTTGCAAGATCCAAAAATTAGAAACTTCAAGCTTCAAATTGCTTTTTTTTTACTCCAATACGACCATTTTTATCAAAGATACAGCCATTTGAAAAATCGCCGAAAATTTAGATTTTTTTTTTATCCCTAATTTTTTCCAAGTTTAGTTTTATAATTGAACAATAATAACAAATCTATATATATTTAATTTAATTGAAATAAATGTAAAAATAATTACCTTGCAATAAATAGGCCGGTCTAATCCGCGGAGATGCACCTTCAGTTAGTGTCACTCCAACCCAAGAATTATTGTACAAACCCAAGGCACCCAGAAGATCAATAGTTTGACCCAAAGATGGGAATAAAAATAGACCTGCAGAATATCTACCAGTACCTGAAAACATTGAATATAATTTTAATTACACGCTAGTGTCCATCAAAAAATTTACAATAATAATAATAATAGTAATAGCAACAGTAATAGTATAGTAATAGTAATAGTAACAGTATTAGTAACAATAACAGGTTCGTATAGGTTTCCGCGATTGTTAGTATGAGCAATACTAGGTTCTCGGATTGAGACGCGTCTGAGACTGTTTACGTCTCGACATTTTCAAGAGTTTAAAGTTGGTTAAGTTTTCAAGGAAAACGATGGGTCATTATCGGATGATATCGAGGCCTCAATCTGCATAATCCTCCGATCGAACTGTCGAGGAAGGAGTCTGTTAGAGTCTCTGTGAACCTCGACATGCTACCCATCCTTTTCCTTCAATATGTAGTCAAATTCAAACTTTTGAAAATGGCTCCAAAACGGGAGAAATTGTTTTAAAATATTTTTAAGTTTGTAACTTTACCGCTAGAGGGAGCAACTGATAGTGTTATAGAATTGTCGTTTTTTTCGAAATTTCGCTTATATAACCTAAGCTGAAAATACACTTTTTAGATACACTGTTAAACCCTTGTTAAAAATTTCAAGATGGCGTCCTTCATACTGGCGTTGATATGGTAATAACAAAATAGTTCAAACAAAACTTGTGAAGGGTTTAACAGTGTATCTAAAAAGTTATAACACTTTCCAAAGTGTGCTTCTCTAAGCACTTTTCACGTTGTTTATTACAATCCATAATGATATGATGACATATCAAAATTCATACTGGTGCATGTACCCATTTTATTCAAGAAAACTTTTTGTATTTTATTAAGGTAATGTAATGAAATGCTTAACTCCGTTTTTTCTCGGAAATAGAGCATTTTATCGAAAGAAATAAAGAGTACCTTTTTTGGGGCAAATTTGAATCGACGACCCCCCAATTGAAACGCCTCTGACTAAAATTTTTGAAAAATTTTATGATGATCATTTCGACTTTTAATGAGTGTTCATGATGACAAAATTCATAATTTTCCTTCAACCCGTTTCGGAAATATTAAAAAAAATGGATTTTTTAATTTCCCGTTTAGGGGGGCGTAGCTCCCTTACTTTTGACAATAGAATCAAGTGGTAAATTATTGGACACTAATTATGAGATACTATGTATTAGGGTGTGCCAGAATAACGTGTACATAACGGAAGACCACAGATTCGTAGACTCAACATAGGCAGATTTAGGCTAATTCATCTATATCCGAAATCGCTTCATTTGGCCACCAGATGACCTCAAAGTTCGTGAAAATTTGTTGAATTTTGTAAATAACTGGAATATGTATTAATCGATTTTGTTTATTTTTGGGGTATGGACTTTTGCTTAAAAACTACAAATTTTGACGTTATACCGAGTGTTTTTTAAAACTCACAAGTCTCCTACAAAATTGATGTATGGTGATAATATCCGTTCATAACTTTTCCTCGTTCGGGCAATAATGACAACTACCTTTTATTTGATAGATGATACTATTTGGAAGTTTTTAGGCTTCTTATAGAATTTTGATTAAATCAGCGGTTTGGGTACAAAATATTTTTTAAATGTCTATATTACCTTGCCACCTATATTACAATACGTAACAAAGTGCTAGTCGTCGCTGATTTTGCAGGTTGACTATAATTTCAGTTTTATCTTTAAGTCATTGTACCTACATACATACGACGAATTAGAGTTATTTACAAAGTGCCTAATTTTAATGAAATAATTCTTAAAAACAATCAAATACAATAAAAAATGCTGTAGATAAAAGTAACAAAGTTGATGCTATAAAATTTAGTACAACAAAGATTAATTCGGCGAAGAAAATTAAAAGACACCCTCTGCAATTCTTAAGGGCTATTTTTTAAAACATTTATGGCGTTTTGGATATGCCTCCACAACTCAGTTCAGCGTTAGATGAGAATTATACACTGTTGTTTTCACAGTGCCCCAAAGATAATAGCCGCAAAGTGTTAAGTCTGGTGAACGTACAGGCCAATTGACAAGAACATTATCCCCTTTACTGATCCATCGACGAGATAATCTTTGGTTCAGATACTGCCGGACATTTATAGTGAAATGTGGTGCAGCGCCATCAGGCATAAACCACATGTTAGCTCTAAGTAATAACGGCACATCTTCCAATAACTCGGGTTTTGCAAAATTTCTAAATAAAATTCCCCATTCAGTATATTGGGTAGAATAACAGGGCCAATCATAATGCCATCCCATACAAGATCAAACTAAAATTACAATCAACCTACAAAATCAGAACCTACTAGCACTTTGTTAAGTATTGTAATATAGGTGCCAAGATAATATACATATGTATACATTTAAAAAATATTTTTTTTTCCCAAACTCATTTAGTCAAAATTCGACAAGAGGCCAAAAACTTCCAAATAGTATGATCTGTCAAATAAGAAATAGTTATCTTTATTGCTCGAAAGAGGAAAAAGTTATGAACGAATATTATCATCACCGTACATCAATTTTGTAGGAGTTGCAAGTTTTAAAAAACACTCTGTATAACACTAAAGTGTGTAGATTGAAAGCAAAACCCCCAAAATAATCATACGTATAATACGTATTTGAGTTATTTACAAAATTCAAAAAATTTTCATGAACTTTGTGGCCATCTAGCGTCCAAACGAAGCAATTTTGGATATAGGTGAATTAGCCTAAATCTACCTATTTTGAGTACACGAATCTGTGGTCTTCCGTTGTACACGTTATTCTGGGACACCCTGTATATAAAATTTTAGCTGAACGGGGATGCAGTCATGGAAAAAATACTCTTTTTAGTTTTCAAGCTTTCAAAACTTTATTTATTTCCTAATCAGGAAAATTAAGTGAGAATTGAACTTGATGGTTTCATGACATGGGTCATAAATTATAGGTTAAAATTATTACAAATTAAAATTATCACAGAATACATGTTTAAAAATAATATTTTAAAAATTATTTTAAAGTTTATTTGCTAATAAAACAAAAAAAACTGTAGAATGTTCTCAAAGCTGAAAGATCAAATTAAAAATTAAGATACAATACATATAATGTAATTTACAAACTAAATTATACAAACTGTAATAAGAAATATATAAGTCAAACATTTAGAAATATTAAGTCTCGTATTTCTTCACATAAAAGTGATATTAAGTTTAAACTAGGCGCTTGTGCACTTTCACATGCAGATTCTACATGTGGATTTGAATAATATAAAAAATGTATCAACAGAACAGAATTATTCAAAAAGACGTTTTTTAGAAATGTGTCTAATAAATCAAGAAAAAAACATATACAAATCAAAACTGATACGAAATATCTTAATAATATCCTATGTAAATATAAAATAAATTACATTTTTTTTTGTTTTGTTTTTCAATATATACTGAATGTCATATCAACCAATGTGAGCGGTTAAAAATATTTAATTCGGAAATTATGTTTTTTAAAACAGTTTATATATTGTATTAACAATTTTTAGCTCACAATCAGTATATAATACTTATAAGTAAAGAAATAATATTTTATAAGTAATTGTAATTATACTTTTAATAACTTTTAGTGTAACTAAAATATTGCAAAAGCTTTAACCTTTAATATATTGGCTGTAATACATGCCAAAAATTTTTACAGTTTAAAAATGTCTTAATAAAACATAAGTAATTGTAATTAAGAATACTTTTAATAACTTTTAGTATGACTAAAATATTTCAAAAGCTTTAACCGTGAAAAAGAGTTTTCTTTAATATATTGGCTTTAATACAATCATGTCTAAATTTTTTACAGCTTAAAAATGTCTTAATAATAAATGAAAAGATAGGTGTAGTTAACTTTGTATGTTTATGATTAACATGAACAGTTGATAACTGAAACAGAACAGAACATTAATAGTAAATCGCATTGTCGCGTTCCGTTCTTTTAATTGAGATATTCAACTTAACAACATAGTCTGTAACAATTCAATCAATGCCTGTCTCAGCAACATATTACGTTTGTCCACTAAAGAGACCAAAGTAGAATTTTTAGTAATAGCTTGTACACTGTTTATATTAGAGACAAACAAAAACAAATGTGAAATGTAATTAACAACAGGAACAAATTAAGTTTCTCTTAACGATTAAAAATATTTTCTTATTGTGATGTTGCTTAGAGAAATTCGAAAAACTTAGTCAACCATATATTTCAAAATAATTAATTTTGTATCTTAAATTGTGTGGATAAGAACGTACCTGTTCATTATTTCAATGTTTAGGGCTTCCACATATTTTAGTTGACTGTTTGGTCGCTGATTTATTTAAATTATGAGCTGTATAATTTTCCCGAATTGAAATGGTACCTGGTTACAGCATATACTATCTTGAATTATTTTACGTCAATGTAGATTATTATATTCCTGGAGTACATACTTTGTTAAATGTGGCGTAAATGTATTTTTCCACAACCCTTTAAGAAAAAACGCATAACAACCAGTGGCGGCTCGTGAAGGAGGACTCTGGGACTCTGCCCCCCCCCAGATATTTTCAAACTATAAACTCAAAATAATGTATTTATTTAAATCAATAAGAAATCTAAATAGCATGCATCCAATATCTCTTGGATGTTAGGTTGGTTGCATAAAGTGCATGTACTCCGTGAACGTAGCTCAGATTAATGCCATCTGCCATCTATGATCGTACCAAAGAGTTATGTTTGACCGCGCGCGCAATCTGAGTCCATTGTGCAAGCATATTTTTACATATGATTGGACAAATTGGCACGAATGGCACGTGGAGGGGATAGACGACGATAGGCTCGCGAGCTTTGTTTTGGGACTCCATGAGGCAGTAACCCGTATCACTGAATTGTGGTTATACGTGTTTTGTTTTTGCTTTGGCGCTTTTTAAGACATTATATTTTATAAGTTTAAGTTTAAAATGAGGGTTTGTGAAATAAAAAACTTGTTATTAGTAATTTAAGTTTAGAGGAAAAAGTCGAATTGAAAAATAACGGA